AAAAAACACGCTTTTAAAGTACATCGAACTAAAAAGTTAAAAATAATTTTTAAAATAATTATGAACAAAAAATACTAGTATTATTGTGATAAAAGCGTGGGTGCTTTGTGTCATATTTTTCGTATATTGAGCGCCCGACGCTTTTATCGCAATAATACTAGTATTCTTTGTTCATAATTATTTTAAAAATTATTTTTAACTTTTTAGTTCGATGTGCTTTAAAAGCGTGTTTTTTAGTTTTTTTTAACTATATTTTATAGATTAATTATCATTTAAAGTTTTCATGCTAAAACATTGTATAGTTTCATACTTGGTAACCATAACAATTGAAAATGTAACATTCATTTTTGATTTTGATATACGTTTAGAAATACTTAACCAAAAATAGTTAATTCAAATAAAAATAATAATTAAATTTTCATATTATAAATTGGAGTTTACCCCATCACTTCAATTTAAAATATGTCAATTTAAATTTAATTAATTTAGTTTGTTTTGTTGATATTATTATTGAAAAAAATGAATTTTTGACCGTAAATACATTTATTATAATATGTCTTTTTTAAAGAANACCGTAAATACATTTATTATAATATGTCTCTTTTAAAGAGAATTTGTTTTTTATTTTGAATGTAATTATGTAAAAACTAAATATTTAATTTAATTAATTTAACCATATTTTTATAATATATCTGTATTTAATTAATTCATTGAAACAATTTTTCTAGTAAATTAATAATAGAATAATAAATTTTTATTCATTGGAAAATTAAAATTATATGTATTATTATTTTGAGTGTGAAATATACAAATAAAATGTTTTCTATTTTGTATTATTGCATATGTCAGTTATAAAATGCTTACAATTAATTATTATTATAATAAATATATTTTATGTTTTATTAATTGACTTTTGATATGATTTATTTATTAATCTAACAAATGAATTATGTAATTTAAATATATATTCTTTTTGAATTTTTTCTATTTTATCTTTCAATATTTTTTCATATGTATTTAAAAAATAATGTGTTATTTTGGGTTTTTTAACTCCAATAAGCAACAGATTTTTTATAACATGTATTTGAAAAACATTGGTAAATTTATGCATAATATTTGTAATTATTATTATGAATAAAAATATCAATAAAAAAAAAATTCTTTAGATCCTCTTTAACTAAGTTTTATTATATTAAAGGATGATAATCATTGTTCATTGTATAAGGTTAGTAACTTTTTAAATATATTTTGAAATATCATCAATATATTAACAGGCTATTTATTTCAATTGTATATTTTCTTAAATATCTTACTGACCAATTTTGTTTCCACAGAAATACTAATTTTTTATTATGCAATTAAAAATGGCGAGAAATTTGTTTATTTCTTAAATTGATGAATCGTGCGTTCTACTTAAAATATAAGTGAGTAAACCCAATGTAATATAATAAGACATACAAGCAACTGGACGATGTTCCATCACAACAGAATAGTAGTTGAATTATTAGGTAGTGAATTATCCAATGGAAAGATAGAACTTATGGTACAGTGAAATTATCATAATATTCATCTGACTAGTTTCATATATATGCTGATTTTTTATGGATTTATCTTAAAAATACGTATTTAAAATTAATAGATGCAATGAGCAACAGAAAAATGAACGCAAAATTAAAGCGCACGTCCTATATTTAAAACTATTTTAGTGAATATTTAGAAAACAAAATTAGAAACAATGTGTACATTATTTAAAAATTAATCATCAAAACAAAAATCAATCTGTGAAAAACAAAAGAGTACAAAATTTGCTTACAGAGCAATAAGATTCTATAGGTAAAACTTTTTAGTTATTAATATTATTGATTTTAATAGTTAGAACTTTAAAAAAATATATATAAATAAATATTGCATACTTAGTAACTTTGAAAGTAATAATATCAACATTCTAAGTCAAGTACTAAATTAATTACATAATGAATTATTTATGTAGAAAAGTAGTGGTTAATCCCGTAACATATGTCCGGTGTAAGGAAGAGTATGTGATATTTTTCCTAACATGACAACCTCATAATATTATGTTTGTTAAAAAGAAATTAAACAACAAGAATTAAAAACTCTCTATAAAAAATGTAGTACAATAGTTTTTATAAATAATAATTTCTCAAATTGATTAATTTTTACAGAAAATTATAAAGAATTAAAAAAAAATAAAAAGTCAACTTGAAAATACCTGACACAGAACCTTTAAATTTTCATTTTTAAAAGACGTGTTAAAATCATTTTGACGAATAACAACATACAATTGGGTTAATGACTAAAATATTTAATTTGATAACACACATGTTTTTCAACAATTATCTACTTTCACTTGTAAACGTAAAAAAAATGCAATCGTAAATCATATTTTTATCGATATTTAATAATTCCATTGATAAGGTACAATATCAAATTAACAAAATTTATTGATCGTTTCATGCTTAAGTACGATCAATAAGATAAACCAAGCAACAATAATCAGGCAATTTATGATTATTATGTCTACGGAATTACACATTGATTAGTTTTTACTGTGTCAAAATGTGCTTCCAAACTCAAAATTGATGCTTTTAAACAACAAAATCTCAAAAATGACTTATCCAATTTTAAAATTTTAAAAGTATTTTTATTGTAAATAAAATTTTCTAACCGAAAATTTAAAAAAAAGTAATGGTTGCCATTTAAATTTCTTAAGTTAGGGTAAATTTCTACCCTTTTCCATTAGGGTTGAACTTAAATTTTAATCGTAAAAGATGCATTTAATTATTCAATTAGCCTCTAAAAAAAAAATTATTAAAAAAATCAATAGCGGCTCTAAAATATCGGTGTTTCCGAACTTATTGAACACTCTATATATAATAAATGAGTCAGATTCAATTTTGAACAATATAATAATTTATAAGTACAAAAAAAACAATAATAATAATAGGAACAAATAAATTTTTATAATGCTATGTATTACCTAGTTGTTGACTTATTCAATGCTTTACTATTTACTTGGACAACACACAAAACAACCTGGACGGTTTACAAAAAGGATTTTATCTGGACGACGTTGAACACAATTGTTGCCTGGACGGCTTACAAAAAAAGAATTTGTCTGGACGACGTTGAACACAATTTGCCTTGACGGTTTATAAAATAAAAGATTTCGTCTGGACGACTTAAACGCAATTGTTTGCCTGGACGGCTTACAAAAAAGGATTATAAAACAACGCAAAAAAACTGAATAGAAACAACAGAACTAAAAAAAATTGAATGAAACAGAGAGACAGTTATATTTTTTTTTTAACACGCTTATATTAGTTTTACGTGTATGTTGTTGTTGTTTGTAAGTTTGTAACTCCACGCGGCACGTGTTATTATGTCGCGTATTCCGTCGTGTATGACCTTGAGACTATACTGGCGTAACGCATTCGCCCCACGCAGCTCACCACTCGTAGACAACAATATTTTCCAACCCGTAGACTGGCGCTTATCATCAATTATATATATATATAACAAATTTTTATTGTAATTGACACAGCCCCGCGTCGTTTTACAATTATTGTTGTTTGGGAATGTACAATTTAGCATTTAGTTGGGTTTAAACAATATAGCGTCAAATCAATTACCTACTCTATTGGTTGTATCTTAATATACATTACACTTTAATGATACTATAAATAAATATACTCACACATACACACATATGCATTTATAACATTGTGTCTAATGTAAGTATAACATGATAAAAAATAACCGTAAAATGAAAAAAATTGGAAAATAAATTTTAGTACTCGTATTAAATGTAATGTAACTCGAAAAAATATTTGTTTAAATGAAAAAATATAAGGTACCTTTTTTTTGTTTAAAATTGTCTTTTAAACAACTTTTGTACGAAATTTTTTTTTGTAAGTTAAATATTTTTTGAGAAGATTAAAAAAGCTCATATTTTTTAACTTTTGCCAGGCTGTAAAAAAAAAGCTCAAGTCCAATCAATGAGGACTTTTAGTATGTCATTATACATATTTTAATTCAACTTTAAAAAAAAAAATGACATTACATGTATTAAAATATACAAATAGTAATGTGTTAAACATAAGTAATAAATAATGTGTACAATATTATGGAATAAACGGAAGAACATTATGAAATGTAGATCACTATTGACGAAAATTTAATAAACTACTATAAAAAGATTAACAAAGAAATAATAATAGCGTTGGTGTTTACTTCTTGCCTTTGAAAATACTATCAAACTTAATATAAAAAGCCCAAAATAATGAGTAAATGGGCTCAGACGTTACTTTGATGGTGGTCAGGATATTCTCACTCGGTCAGTCAAGCTCGGACGCGNGTTATGACAGTCTAGTCTCAAGGCCATAGACGACGGAATATACGATAACGCATTGCGCTTGGAGAGTTACAAACATACATACATACAGGTGAAACTAATATAAGCGTGTTAAAAAGGAATTTGACCTTTAGACTTGTCTTTGTGATGAAACTGACATTTAAGTTAAAGAAAAAATTACCATTTTTGTATAAAAATTGGAAAAGTCAAACAATTTTAATAACTTGTACAAAAATTTATTTGAAAATGTTAATAAGAAATAAGTGAACTTAGATTGACGTATTGATAAAGAGATGAAAATGGAATGAATACCCTTATTTTAGGTTTGATGCGAAACTGTGAAATTATTAATTTGATTTTTTTGGTATTTGTTAACCCTTTTTGACAACTCTCACCTAACTGATTTCTTTCAACAATACGTCAAAAGATCATAAATCATATCTATTCAAAGATATTATCCTCAAAAATGGAAACAATTTCCCTCGTTCTCTGTAAATGGAAGAAATCTCCAAAAAAATTACAAATTTAAAAATCGCTAATTTTTTTTACTTAAAACTGCAATATTTTTTTTAAAAATGACCAAATTAATAACATTTTTTTATAAAAATGGTGTTATTAACTATCATTTGGTATATTTTTTTATAAATCTGACCCTTTACCTATCCACAAGAGGGATTCAAAATAATAACTTTTCCACAAAAAATTAACTTTTTCAAAATATGTTTTAAAAATACAGTTCCAGGATAGCCGTCGTTCGATACGCACGTGCGTGCAGTGTGCTCTTAGTTACTGTCTTATCGTACAACGTGTGTTTTCGTTCATTATTGCTAAACCGGTTAACCAAGATGTGACTTGCCTATGTAACCACTTTACTTACTCTACACTATCAACTAAAGTCTCTTGCACAGCAACAAACGAAAAATATCGACTGGTAATTGTCATCGTTCTAGCTGTAATATTAGCAGCCCAAGTGCAAACGGTCTTATTGGCGGCCCCCTCGATGGTCTCGTTATTATTAATAATAATACATTACGCTATCGCATCACACCGTCGTCTTCATTTGTTTTATTGCAATCGCGTTGTGATTGTTACTCCATATATTTAGTCCTCGTAAATGAGGGAAATCTCCAAAAAAATTACAAATTTAAAAATCAGTAATTTTCGAAATGTTTTCAATTTTTTTACTTAAAATTGCTATAACTTTTTTAAAAATAACCAAATCAATATAATTATTTTTACATAGATGCATGATATCATTACCTTTTATTTGGTATATTTTTTTTATAAATCTGACACTTTACCTGCCCACAGGAGAAATTTAAAATGACAACTTTTTCACAAAAAATTAACTTTTACAAATTAACTTTTGAAAGTGTTCCGGAGAGTCTGATACTTTTATATACATCTTAAATTAAAGCTAATGTAATGTACTTTATAATGGAAAAAAAAATTTGACCTCTGTATTAGTCTTCATAGTGAAAATGGCTACCGTATGCTATTTTTGTGTTAAAATTCTCGATTGTATATTTTACATTTTTAACTTTAAAATGTTATAACTTTTTGAAAAATGTATGGATCAATACAATATTTTTATAAGAAATAATATTTATATACTTCTTTCATTTGACATACTTTATCTTCAACAAGATATTAATAAGGAACTAGCAGATCATGTAGCTTTTGGAATAATCCATCAATTTTTTTAATTTAAACACTGTCTAAAGATTTGCATCGAAGCGTTTTCTTTTGATAGTGATTTTAATCACTGTCAGATATAATTATACTTGATCCAAATATGTCACGTCACCACTGTGCCATTACCCCCCTGTGCTGGGTTTTTTTATATGTAAATACTCTTTTATTACTAATTAGTAATAATCTCAAAAAGATGTGATAGAAAAAATCTAATTGCAAATTTTATATCGGGGCAAAAAGGTTTAAAAAAGTATTTATTAATAAGTAACAAAAATGTATTCGTACATAATACATATAAATGAAAGAACTACTAATCATCTATACTTGTCCCAACTATGCCACGTCTATACTGTGCCGTGACCCTACTGTGCTTTCGTTTTATTATATAAAAAAACGTTAGTTTATGTTGAGGATGTTGCACCAACTCACGTGAGGTAGGTTAAAAAGAGAAAAGAAAGAAATACAATTAAATCGGTATATATATATTAGGGTGGTCCTTATTTTTTCGAATTTCGAAATTTCTTTCGGGACACCCCTCCATTTTTTTCTTTAGTATAAAAAAATAATATTCTGAAAATTTAAAATCATTTGGAAAAATTTAAATTGAGGCGCACAGCATTTTAAGGTTTTGACCTCGAATTTTCGAAGAATATTCTATAAAACGATAAAAAAAAACTTATATTAGAGATTTTCAAGTGATTTTTTCAATAAAAGTCAAGATACAAAAAAAAAAAAAGGATTGACCTTATTATAACTTAAAGTTATTAGAAAAAAAAAAAATTTATGTGAAATTTCAAACTTAAATGACTTTCTAAAAATGGTGCTTTTTTTGAGAAAATTGGCGTTTTTGAGCTGACCTAAACCATTAAGAAGCTATTATTTTATAGTGATTTTCAAATGTGGTATTGTATAGTATATAATCTATGTTTCAACTAAATTTCAAATATTTAAAACAATTTTCTTGGGATTTAGAGGCCTACAAAGTTAGAAATTTTATTAAAAGACACGTATTCTAGGTGCATTATCTCTGTTGGGGGGCCTAATTTCAAAAAAATTTTTTTTTAGTTTTTTAGTTATATATCTGCTTAATACACCATAAAAATTTGAAGTTTGAGAAAAAAGTTTCGATTTAAATTTTTCCAAATGATTTTAAATTTTTAGAATATTATTTTTTTATACTAAAGAAAAAAATAGATGGGTGTCCCGAAAGAAATTTCGAAATTCGAAAAATAAGGATCACCCTAATATATATATATCAAGCCGTATATTGATAATCTCTATAACACGGTTATAAGTTTTATATTAAAAAGGAAAATAAACAAACACAACTATATATTTCTCTGGACGTGTAGTGTTCGTAACTGCGGTGAAAAATAATGCCCGGTCCTTGCGGATGGTAAACAAAAGAGCTACGGTATCGGTGTCACGAAGATGACTAACTCGACGTATTATTGCGGCGGTGTATTCGACGCTAGGCATTTGTTGGACTTTNGTGTATTCGACGCTAGGCATTTGTTGGACTTTACACCACGACGATAACGCGTGGGTGTAACGGTTCGGTTTACAGTGGAGCGGTGGCTGAGAAGGAGCTGATACGACCGTGGGGTGTCAAACGTGTGACAAAACGCCGTGGCCGTGTCATTTAATTAGTTAGTTAAATGACGTTCGTAATTTAAGGTTAGTTAAATAAAAAAAAAAAACTGAAATCAGTTTTGAAAAAATTTCCATTTAAATGAAAAACACAAAATTTTTTTTTAAAAAAAGGTAGAAACCCTCTAATATGTTTATTATTTTGTTATGGTAACTATAATTTAAAATTAAAGTATGAGCAATATTTTAATTATCGCATTACTAATTATATACATGAGATTTTGATTGTCAAATAAAAACCAGGGCAATTTTTTTTTTATCCTAAAATCAAATTCGAATTAAATTTGGTGCGTTGTGTAAAAATGCTATATCTACATAAGATAAAATAAAAAATAATCTACATCTTAATAAACAGTTAATAATTCCTCAAAATAAATTTTTTAATAAGAAAACACTTAACAATTTACTTTTATTAAAAATTAAATAATATCGTTTTACCTTACGTAAAAAAGGTGAAAATTCGAAAAGATATGCGTTTGAAAAACTTCTAGTTAGATACATCACGATGAAAATATAGAAATACATTATTGGTTTGATAAATCGTAATTTTAGAATAAAACTGTTAAGTTAAACAATTGAAATGATAGATTAATTTAAATTCAATTTATTTTATAACAATACTATGTTGATTTAGTGATTTAGAAAAATGTCATTTTTAAGTATTTTTAAAATAGATATAAATGCGTTTAATAAATTAAAAATTTGTTTTTTATATAATCATTCTTATTTAAAACTAAGTAAACATTTTATTTATTGATGAACATGCAGAAACTAGTTTTATATAATAATTCTATTGTCATCATTGTACTAAAAGTACTAGTAAAAACTTGATTTTTTTTGTTTCAGTAATTACTGAAAACTGAAATTTAGTCTATAAATTAATAAGCCTTGACGTTTTGCAGTGGTTTAATTTTAATAATTTACAAACCACATGTTTTTTGCACATTTGTTCAGCTATTCTACTGAACTAAAAATATAGAAATAAATAATTTATTTTGATTTATTTTATTGGTCTTGTTTCTTATTTATCTCTCTGCTTTATTAATAGTTACATGATTTATAATACAACCCACGATATGAGAAAACAGTCGTCACACCTAGTATTTGAAATATTATTCGTCACGTTTACCTTAAATTATAGCTTAATATACAATATTAAAAAAAAATACCATGTTTTTGTGGTTAAAACGAACATCAAAGTTAAATTCAAAAAAATTTAATAAATTATTCAACTTACTGAAAAATAAAAAAATAAAACATTATTGTTTAACAAACAAATTAATTTAAATTAAAAGATTCATCAAAACAAAATTCATTCTAAAATTTTTAAGTGTCATTTAATTATTTAAGGAAAAAATATTCTAAATCCAAATAAATTAAAAAAA